TCTGCTAGCTTTTTTTCGGGCTCTTTTACCCTCGACACAGCTGTCAGAACACCAAACAACAGGCACAGCAATTTCCACGTCCGCGAACACACCTCACTCAAAGCCGCCGCGGGCGCTGAGGCAGCGATTCGTCTGGACGACCGTCAATGCCTTTGTTTTTTCTGTCAGGATTTTAAATTACGCCGCGGCGGACTTCCTGCGCGACTGTGTGCCGAAGATTACGCCTTCGTTCAAAGCAAAAGTTGAGGGACGGTCAGATTCGAGTAAATTGATGCACTTTCAAGCACGTTCAGAAGAAAGGTGCCGGCGTTCCGGGTCTGGCACGGATATTTCTGGATTACCATAAAACAGGCTTTGTCTAGACGCCTAGAGGCTGAGGTAAGGCAGAGAATGCAGCATTTCCCATCAGTGTCATCTGTCACAATCGCAGAGGCTTTTCCTCTAGCTCCGCTGTGGGAAACAGATCCGAACGGAAGAGCAGCTGTTGGACTTTCCCTCCGCGACATAACAGAGCAGAACGTCATTCATCCTTCCTCACTGCAGAAGATGCGTCTGTGAAAGCTCTTATCAAATAAATGAAGATGCAGGAATTGTTTAAACATCGGAGCGCCATAACTTTAACTCCATATGCCCTGAATCCAATGAATGATCGGCACATTCATGAACAGATGGTTTTATTTGCTTTCATTTTCTGCAACCCGACACCAAAATTTGTGGAATAAATTAAGTTTTGTGTGATTTGAAGGCACTAGAATGAGTAGTAACAGTTTTCAGATTTAGCCTATATAAAGCTATATATATATATATATATATAATTTTTTTTTTAATAACTTTCTTTACAGGGTTGATTGTTGACTTTGATGGTAACACTTCAATGAGTTAACATGAACTAACACTGAAAAATACTTCTACAGCATTATTAATCTTTGTTAGTTAAAACCAAAATGTGCTACCTGGTGTTAAGCTGTTTATATTACTTTATTAATATTATTTAATAGACCTCAACTGACATGAAATAACAATGAACATTTTTTGTTAGTTGAATAATGTTAGCAAATATTTAAAAATACTGTAATAAATGTATAGCTCATTGTAAGTTAACTAATGGGACCTTATTGTGAAGTGTTACCAAATTAACTATATATTTTTTTTCTATAAATCAAAATTATTTTTTCTTACAATAATGATGGTTGAATTTGATGAATGCAGTCAACACTACAAATTGTAAAAGAAAGAAAAAAAGAAAGAATAATACATACATACATACATACATAAATACATAAATAAGTATTTAAGTAAGTTTTCCTGTCATGTCGAAATGATGTAATTTCCTGGGTGTCACTTTTTTAATGCAATACAATTACGCAATAACGTGGATGAGCACAAAGCACTGGGCACTGCTAAATGATACATTTTGGAAATTAAAATGAATTAATAACTAATAAAGTTCTTAATACAAGGAATAAATATTAATGCAACTGACTATATAAAAACTGACATTGTTGCATGATTTAGGATCATTGCTGGACACAGATGAGAAAGTGGAGACTGGCCAAAATCACCATTTTAAGGGTAAAACAGACATCTGATCATTTTGAAACGAGTTACTCTTCATGCTATTGGCTTATGAAATATAAGCTGGTTCTCAGGACAGGATCATGGGGTCGGTGCCTGCGGCGCTGTAACGTCAGCGCTGATGATATTCTCCGGCTGACTGTGTGAGTGGACGTCAAATGGACATCAGGTCACAGCACATTGAACTAAATGAATTCAGTTAATCTCTCTGATGTTTCTCCATCCCTGGAGCCAAATTCTGACGCTAATGTTCCCCCTCAGGGTCATTTAAAGGCCTTTCAGTTCCACCATGCCTAGTGGCACTTTACTTCTCAAGAGCCCTCTGCTTTATCCTGAATCCTGCAAGCAAAAGCCGTGTCTGGTCTTATAGCTCTGATGCATCGATTTCCTCTGTCTTTACCAGTCGTGCATGAATTTTACAGCATCATATAATGTTGAAAAGAAAATTATGTCATTACTTATGTTTTGTTACAAAAAAAACAAAAACACCATAAAAGTAAAATACAAGCATCATAACTTTAGTCCACATTTCTTCTCCATTTAAGTCTTCTGAAGTCATGTGATGTTTTGTGTAAGGAACTGACCCGAAAATGACCCACATTTACGTTTTCACTCATTTATTATAATTTCTAAAATCATATTTGCATATGCACATCAGGTTTTGAATATGGCCACAGAAAAGCTATTTTAATGGAAAAGAGCATCTCACACGTGTTCAAAATGGCATGATGGTGAAGGGTGCTCAACTGAGGTGAACTATTTGGTTAAATGCATTTCTCTGGAACATTTCTCGGCCACCAGCAACGTTTGCGTTCCTCCAGCGTGGAGATCTTTTGTTTTCTTTGATGCAGAATGCATTGTGCCTGTGACCTTGTTGGCAAATATGGGCCTGAAATCCCTGGCCAGTCTGCGAAAGGACCGAACGCATTGGTCCCAGTTCAGTGGGTGCATTCATGAATAAGACATGACCCATCCATCCACACAACACAAGCACGGCCGATTGAACACCACGTTTTTAGGGGAAGAAAAATATGTCGGGGCTTAACCGAGGCAAAGACGCTTTAATGCAAAGCTTGTTTTCGATGCTCGTGCAGTCTGCCGCAGCCTGATATCTTACGGCGGAATATGTATTAGTTTTGTGTCATTATTCATGCTCAAACGATGCTGCTTGCCCACTGGCTGAATGTGCAGTAATTACTACAACTCGGCTTCCTTCATTTATATTAATGGATAAATATTTGTTTAAGGCTTCCTGTTCGTAATTATAACATTTCCATTTAGACCATCATTCCAGGTGACGCTCGGAGAGAGAACAGCACACGACTCGTACTCATACTGCATTTATAGAGTATATACTGCTGTAGTGTGTGAGTTCAGACGAGACACCGCAGACTCTATGTGTGCAATACTCAATCACACAGCGCTTTGTGCTCCACTTGACCTTCCATTCCAGTGTGACGAACGAGCCGCCAGTCGTTTTTAATCTTCCTTGACTCATTATTGGATTGGAGAGCCCGAGTTAAGACACTTTACATAAAATTTGATAAAGGTAAAATAATCACATTTATTCCCACGATGATAACTTCACATGTAATCTTTACAAAAAAAATCTAATTTTGAAGGGGAAAAAAAAGAAGCAATTTCTTTGGTTTTAACGACTTGAATTGCAATTAATATCTATTTTATCTCCAGGTTGTTAGGTAAAAGTTCAAATAAATGTCAGATAGTGAAACTCTCGCGATTGGTCGTACGCCACTAGTTATAAAATAAAACAACACTGAAGTAAAAAAAAACCAGTTCTTTGAAATATGCAATTATTTCATCAAAGTGTTTAGTTAAAGACTGTTCTTGAGCTAATCAATATATTTTAGTAAAACTATTTAATAACACATTGGCATTTGTTTTAAATGCATATTATTGCTGACAGATATAATATGATATATAATATATTCAGTAACATTAATCGCTGTTGTTATTGTTAGTTAAAACCAAAACTTAAAAAAAAGAGAAAAAAAAAAATTAACAAACTATATAAAAAAATGTCAAATGAAAAACATAAATTTAAAAGAAAATTAAAAATGTTGCCTTGGTAACTAACAGATATAAGCTGTACTTAAATTACTAAAACTAGTAATTAATTAAATTAACTATTAAATGAAACTATATACAAATGTTTATCAAATCTAATAAAAGTACTAAAACTATTAACTAAATTAAATTAACAGCTATATACATATATAAAACAAATTAAGAAAATTTCTAAAACTATTATTTTTTAAATAAATTAAATTCATTAAACCTACATACTTAATGTTAAAGTACATAAAATGACTAAGACTTCAATTTAAATTTAAACTAAAATTAGAATGAAAACTGAAAATATGAAAATGAAAGCTAATTCAAAATAATAAATACTATAAATAATAACAAAATATTAAATACTACACTTAATACTTAATAAATACTATAAATAATACTAAAATAACACTGATATTAATAGTTCTGGAATCACTGATATTATGACACAATCTGGGTTAATATCATTGGTCTAAATAGTAAGGGGGGGCAACTGTACATCTTTAATAAGGTAATAACTGAATACTGTAATAAACGGCAGACACTGGCGTATGTTTCTCAGACCCACAGATGGCAGGGAGATCTGAGAGTTATGAAGGACATGTTCTGCTGTATGTCCTTTAACATCGCCCTCAGTCTCCCCTGCTGTTCACATCATATCTGTACAGACAGCAGTATATACTGCAGTGTGCACTGCACCATATGCACTGAGCGCTGGACCTGTATTCTCAACATATCCAGAGAGATTTTTGCCAATAACCATGCTAATGTTTGGAGGTGGAAAGCATATACTTCTCTTGCATTTCTCCCATTTTAGGTCTGGCAGATACGTTCTCACACCAACCAGATAGAAACTGGCAAGGACTGTTTTGTTTAGTAGCTGCGTTTCATAATTTCATTAAAAGATAAGTCTTTCATTGGGTGCGAATGGTAAAAACTGGGAAAGGAGAGCATTTTCACTCCGGTTTCTCCACACGGACGCTGGCACATCCAACAAGGCCACTTTGTAAGAAATGTTGTAAATGTAGCATAAAATTAGTTATATTGATGATGCAGAAGCTAGCGAGTGGGAAAGTCCGTCTGCTAATTAGAATATTAATCACCCCGTTAAAAAGCTCCAAGGTCAGTGAGAGCTGAAGGAGCTTTTCCATTTTTCATGATCCATCCGTGGGACGCTTTTCTAGAAATAAAACGTCATTTGCTGAATTGCCAACTACTCCGGCTTAAACATGTGAACGAAACCGAAGCACACACACTGAAGAAAGATATAGACACAGCCAACATACCTGTGAAGGCTGGAAGGCAATGAGAGAGCAAAGGTTAGCGCAGGTTTTTGGTCGTAAACCTACCACGTAAAACAGTGAGTCGTGTGGTGGCACTCGTCTCCCCAACACTGTTGGAGGCGACACATTCGTAAATGGCTTCATCGCGCGGCGTCCGCAGCGGCTGGATTCTCAGAACGGAGCCCGATCCGTCATCGAACTCTATGACCTACAGGTGCGAGAGACAAGATATGTTACGAGAGTTTTTTTTGCTCACAGTTGACAACAGACAATCATGCTCTCACACACACTTCATCCTGACACAGAGCTCTGGACAGACAACGGACACCGTGGCACGATGTTCATTTACGCAACCTGACGCAACAGTACGAACACAGGACACAGAAACAGTCTGGTTAAGATCAGCGACCGAGCTGCGATTCGGAATATATCTGTAATTGCTGATATTTTGGAGTTCTCATCCTGAAGCCCAGTGAAAACTCAAGAGATTTGTTCTCATTTCGTGTCTTTAATGACTGTTTCTTCTGAACATTTGTACGATATGAGACCGATGATGTCTGATATATTGGCTGATGGTTGCGACTGAATAAAGTGTGTTATTAGCATACTTCTTTTAACCTACAAACACATAATGTCATTATTATTTAATCTTGTAGATATACCTTTTTTATAAAGGCATTCTTTTTTCTTAAATCGTCAAAAACCACTGGCATAAATCCTCTGGTTCTAGCTTAAGTACAGTTATGATACACTTAGAGTATACTTAGGGACCAAGTAGTATACTTAAAATATACTAGAAGTATGATGTTATGTTTGCATACAACATATAATTATACTTGCAATATAAAAACTAAACTACCTAAAAGTGTACTTCCATAAACTAAAAAGTACACATAAGTTATCTTGTAGTATAGTTGAAATACATACATGAAATAACAGAAAACAACACAATGTAAACTAGTTGTGTACTACTGTTACTTTTAAAGTATGCATAAAAGTATACTTTTACTAAAAAGCTGTCCAATTTAGTCCTAAGTAGTACTGAACGTGCACACAACAGACCTTACAAAAAATAAGTATACTTCAAGTTCATTTTGTTTTAACTTAAGTAAACTTTAAGTTTTATTTTGTATTGCAAGTATACTGTGAATTATACTAAAAATGAACTTATAGGTATACTATAGATACTTCTAGAGTTTATTTAAATATACTTTTAAGTGTATTAGTTGAATAGTTTTTATACTGCAAGAACTTAACATCATACTTAAAGCTTATTATTTACCTTTTTTGTTCACTAAGTATACTAGCAGTTTCCCATTTATTAGATTTTTAAACTTGAAATAAAGTTTAGTTTAAGTTCAGAAACGGTTTATTCTGGTAATGGCTTATAATAGAAGCCAGTGTAAATCATGTCTGATACAATACTCTCACGCCTAAGAAGAAATGTCAGTAAAACCAGACAGATGTTCATCTGTCAGGTTCGTTTCCACTTATGTATTCTTCACTTTAAGATTTTTCACCGCAAAGCTGACTCGTTATTATAAACTTGTACAATTTATGCTGAAGTTGAGTAAAATAAACCATTGTGTGTGAAGAAAACGTCAAGAAACGTACAAAAACAAATGTATACACCAGTGTAGGCCAAGTATATTTAGAATACTAAATGATACTTTTAAGTATACTTAAGTATTAGTTCTGTCAAACGATTAATCGCATCCAAAATAAAAGTTTTTGTTTACATAATATATGTGTGTATACTGTGTATATTTATTATGTATATATTAGCCTAATACACACACTTGCATGTATACATTTAAGAAAAATATGTTTTGTTTATATATAAAATATAAAATAAAATATAATTATATATGCATATATAATGTATATAAGAGAGTATATAACACATGTGTGTGTGTGTGTGTGTAAATATTTTTCAAATATATACATGTATGTTTGTTTATTTATATATACATAAGAAATATACCCAGTACACACATATATATTATGTATAAAAAAAACTTTTATTTTGGATGCGATTAATTGCGATTAATCATTTGACAGCACTATTAAGTATATAACAATAAAACAGTATATACATATATATAAACAGTGTATTAAAATGCTCAGTGAATGTCTGAATGCAATGCTAATTCTTAAACCAGACGTTTCACGATAAACCTGGTGGCTTTAAGAATGGGATGGCATGATCTGGCCCACTCTTAAAGCAGATCGCATGAAACATGAAACGAGGATGGTGATGTGACGTCACAGGCACAAACGTCATTAGAAAGAATGTCATCAGACAGTCGATTAGCCTCGACGAGAGCGACTGACGCCAGACGGACGGGACACAGGACGCTTACAGACAGGTTTAGTTGCTGGCAATCGGGAGATGTATACTCACTTCTGACAGAAACAACCAGGACGTGTTCTCCGTTTTACAGACTTAAAATACATCAGTGGTCATACGCTGCAGCTTTTCTTTCACTGTCACTTTCCACGCAAAGAAATGCGAGTATGACCACACGCTCACACACATGCGCTTGTGTGTGCATGAGCCGGCTAACGAAGCCGAGTGGAAACTAAGCGTTAGACGGACGTTTGAACATCATATTAGTAATGAGTTGCATGGGTGAAGGTGAAGACGCTGTGTGGCGGATCGAAGGTTAGCATATTAGTGGCTGTTAGTGGTGTATAGCATGTGATGAACGCTGATAAGATTTCGTTTCTGTTGACGAAAAGGTGCCATATCAGCCGATAAGCATCCGTAGATTAGCCGCCGCTAAGCGTTAGCGAACAGAAGAGTGAAGATGGTCGTGCGGCAAGATGACGCTGAAATTAATAAAAATCTTATCAGTGTTCAGCTGTGATGCATTTGTTCATCATGCTGGGCTGAGATGGCGATCCAAAAACAGATAAATAAACATACAGGACTGAGCCACATGAGACCGCAGAACATGCACTGAGAAGCAAATGAGACGCTCAACACAAGAACAAAAACAACTTCTGGGAAACAAGTGCATTTCAGAAATGCAAAGCGTATGTTTGACAAAAGCCTCTGATCATAATTTCAGATCAAGGGCCGAATTCACAAAGCATTGCTATTTATTAAAACAATGTCATTTGTTATCATTGAGATGCTAATTATTATTATTATTAAATAATTTTTATTTTTGTAGCGTCTGTTTTTTTATTTTAATTTTAGCTAAAGTTTCAGTATTTTTTTTTTATTCTTATGTTTTGTAGTCATTTTTCCCCTAAATATGTCTATAGTTTTGATTGTTTTTTTAAATTTCAGTTTCAGTTTTAGTTCTTTTAGAAATCAAGTTAAATTAAATGAAGATTAGAAATTTTGCTTTGGCAACTAGCTGAAATTAAATACGTATATGTATATATATATATATATATTAGAGCCCAACCGATATATTGTTTTGCCGATATTATCGGCCGATATGAGTCTGTCGCAGATATATCGGTATCGACGAATATGCTGCCGATATTACTTTTTTTTTTTACAGAACATATAACGCAGATTAAATGCTTATAAATGGTGTAATTACTTAGTTTGTCCAGCAGAGCGCGCGCCATTGTTTGCTACTGGCGACCCAGGTCAGTGTAGTGTAGAGATGCGTGGATGAGCTCAAACTTCACCCGAGTCCGCTGCTTCAAATTATCCGCCCGCCACCCACCCACACCTATATTTGATCGTCACATTACAATGATTATAATTTTTAGTTTTGCATGATGATATGATGAATGGATGGTTAATTTTTAACAGCAGATTCAGTGACGTTAGAGACTAGAGCTGATCTGCGCATCACGGCACGTGTCTGCGGCGCATTAAAGCCTGTGTTACGGCCACCGGAGCTCATCGCGGCCATTCAGTCAATGCTGGTGTTTATACCGGCCGTGCTGCGGCCCACAACTCATGCTTATCACATCAGTCACATCACATCGCTTGACGCGACAAAATACAGTAGAATTTCTATTCTATTTTGTTGCGCCGCACCGCGCTGCTCGCGTCCGGTGTAGAATATAACCCATTATAATCAGTAATGTTGTCTACACTGGATGCAGTAAACTGATGCCTCATTCTATTTAAGTAGCTTGTTTGCCCTACACAGTTACCTTGTTTCATTTCTTAATTCAAGTTATATAGGCTATATTTTGTTCTATTTGTGTTATTTAAATTATTTATAATAAGTGAAGTGAAGTTTACTGTTAAGTGCACTGATGTCAGACTCATTTTAAATAATACAGTTTATTGTTAAATTGTTAAATACCCTGCCTCCACTACAGAAGCTTATGTTTGTCACATCATTATAAATGTTTGATCACCACATTTGAGTTATCATTGCAAAAAATGTGTTTATGTATATATATATTCTGTTTATGTAGGCTATATACTGTATTCTATATACAGTACCAGTCAAAAGTTCTATTTGTGACGTACTGACAAAAAGTTAAAATGATTTTCAACGGTCGCTTTGTCGCATCATGTTGCGGCACGGACACGGTGTCAGCATAGTTTGTCAGTACAGTCAGTAACGTAGCAGTTTGAAAAGTTAGTATCTTTCTGCAGTCCAATAGACGGCAGTGCGGTGGTGGCTTGAGTCTGTTAAATGGTGATTTAACGCTACGTTGTCACCTAGTTGGAGAGACACAATGTCCCCGTCTTTTACTCTCACAATGAGCTTTTCATATTCGTTTGCTACATTAGTAGGGCCCTATGATTTCCGCGATGCAGAAAACATGGACGGAATTGTGAAATCCAGTCATAAAAACAGAATTTACTGTATAACGTGGAATTTCATGGAATCTGTCTTATTTTTGATGAATAAAATAAAAAACAAGCATATATACAGTATATAATATATATATATACATATATATATATATATATATATATATATAGGGCGCTATAGCTAAAAAATTTATCAACGATATAATGTTTCATATCGTTCGGTATCGATTAGGCATGGGCCGATTACCGGTTTCACGGTAACTGTATTCTATATACAGTACCAGTCAAAAGTTTGGACACACTTCCCATTCGTGTGTCCAAACTTTTGACTATACTGTACTATAATATAGCCTACACATAAAGAATATCGGCCGATATTACGATATCGGTCTTTTTTTACTCCCTAATATTGGTATCAGCATCGGCCACCAAAAAACCCATATCGGTCGGGCTCTAATATATATATTAAGTGTATTTGTATTTGTATTTGTATTCGTAAGTGTATTTACTTGTCTCATTAGTGTGTAGTGCAGTTGAAGTTGCTAGGAAACGCTTGTTTTGTTTACTGTGTGGAGACGTGCTGATATCGCGTTTGGTCTCGTTCTGTATCGCGTATCTTGTCAGTGTCTGCGCTTGCTTGGCCATTTGTTGTGGAGAACATAAGGAAAGTGTGTCCAGCTGAATTAATTTAGCATTTTGGTAGACGGGTATAAAAAAAAAATGCTTAGTTTACCGCGGCAACGGTCGCGTGAAGGCCTCCTCGTGTGAAGACCGAAGAGTGTAAAGAGCATCGATTCTACCGTGCGACTCCACCGGGCAGGACACCGGCAAAGGATAAGTATCGCTTTTTATTGCTCCTCTTTCCTATTACTTGTTTCGCTTCTGTTTCAGTTTGTATAACCATTCCTTACTATGTGTAAGTAAGTTATTGTTTTTTAACGTGTGCTTGGCAGTGTTATTTTTTAGGATTACTGATAAACTACTGAGGTTACTTATGTAACCATGGTTCCCTGAGTAGGGAACATGTGTTGTATGCATTTGTAATTTTTTTTTATCTCTTTATTTTTAAAATATGTATAGGTAGTATTTATGAAGTTTTAGCTTTTAGTTTTGGATCTGTTTTTAGTTATTTTAATACTACAATTGATTGCTTCTATTGTCCTCATTTGTAAGTCGCTTTGGATAAAAGCGTCTATATACATATATATATATATATATATATATATATATATACTTTTTAAGGTTAGGATAACCTCCAACTTGTCTTAAATCCTCAAAAGGATGATGTTTAATGACTAATTGTTACTGTGCGCAAATTAACAAGTGCAACGAACGCAACAGACCTATCCATCTTAAGACAGCCTCATTTAAAATAATTATGTTTAACTCAAAATAAAAATGTGACGTTGAGAGCTGGACTTCAGTCAAGCAAGTAGCGATGCAAATAGTTTTTTTTTTTCTTTCTTCAAGAACCACACTTAGGAACATTATTACGAACATCTTAAAATTTAAGAAGAACTTATGAACTTTCTTAACTTTTTTTCCCTAAATATTTTTGTGAATCCGGCAACAGGCCATGAGTAATCATGCATGTTAGTGGTGGGAGGATATGCTAATGAGTGGGTGTGGCTGAAGCAGTGGGTGTGGTTAATGGGCGTGGCTATTGTTAGCATTCACTTGTCGAGCATTTTACATCAGAACAATAGACCTAATACCTCAAAACGCTGGTTGCTCACTCTCTTCCCCTTCTTGTTCCACACGATCTTGGGCTGCGGGTCGCCTGTAGCCTGGCAGATGAAGGAGGCGACGCCGCCCTGAACGCCCGTCTGATCGTTCGGGGTTCGTAAGAACTTTGGTGGCGCTGAAAGAGAGAAAGCAGAAGAGACGTGGTTACACAATTGATTCAGACAGATTATTGAACGGAGACGTTTTACACAACACAGCAGTCAATGAAAGAAGAAACGCAATCAGATGAACCGAGCAAAGATGTGAGGATAACCCCATGAATTTCAGAGTACACTAACAGTGTTGGGGAAAGTTGCTTTTAAAAGTGATGCATTACAATATTGCGTTACTCCCTATAAAAGTAACCAATTGTGTTACTTCGTTACTCTTTATAGAAAGCAATGCATTGCCTTACTTTTGCATTACTTTTTGTCACAGGTCTGGGCTTGCTTATTTGTTTTTTTTAATAACAAAAATCCCAAGAGTTATATTTTTGGCAACTGTAAAGACTCTTTCACACCAAAAGTGAAATGAATAATCTTCCGGCTGAAGGAAACGCCTCTGCACTGACTCCTGATTTCTCTCAACACAGGAACAGGAGAGCTCTCAGTCAATACATGGAAAAACAAAGTAACCTGTGTTACTTATTTGAAAAAGCAGTGCAGATATTTCACTGTATCCTTAAAAGTAATCCGTTACTTTACTAGTTACTTGGAAAAAAGTAATCTGATTAAATAAATTGTGTTACTTGTAATTCTGTAATTCTGTTACTTGTAATTAACTTGCCAATTTTATTTTTTAATGCAATTTTACTTTGTGCTTTTAAGTGTTTTATCTTATTTTTCCAGTCCATTTTATATTTGTTCATATGCATACTATTTATTGATTGATTTGTTTTGTTTGTTCACAACAAAGCATGAGCATCATTACCAACATGCCAAACACTGTAAACAACAATTTCATTTTCCCCAGAAGTTTGTATTAGTTAGTAATGAAGACGAGCGGCGTCAGGATCACATCAGAGCCATGAGATCAGAAACCGCATTTATTTTAAGAGTTTTACATCATGATCTGAGCGCGGTTTATTAGGTGTCATTAATAGAGCAGATGGTAATGAATCCCAGAGTCCAAAATTAACACCCGCCAAGATCCAAATGAGGTAAAAACAGTGGAATGAATATTTGTCCTGAAATATTATTATGCATGATTTAAATGCTATATATGTACAAGTCCACCTCACTAATGTAAGAAACACAAATAATGCACAGCAGGGGATCTGTTTTAAAACAAATCGACCAATCAGATGAAACTGGGGGCGGGATCTTGAGTGCATACAGACACTACAATTCAGTAAGACTTAAATACATTAATACTTATATTCAGCAAGGACGCATTAAATTAATCAAAATTTACAGTTAAGACATTTATAAAAATATGTATATTTCAAATAAATGCTGTTCTTTTGAACTTTCTGTTCATCTGTGAATCCTGAAAAATAAAATGTATCACAGTTTCCACAAAAATATTGTGCAGCACGACTGTTTTCAACATTGATAATAATCAGAAATGTTTCTTGAGCAGCAAATCAGCATATTAGAATGATTTCTGAAGATCATGTGACACTGAAGACTGCAGTAATGATGCTGAAAATACAGCTTTGATCACAGAAATAAATTACAGTTTAACAGATATTCACATAGAAATCAGATATTTAAAAATTGTAATAATATTTCACATTTTATTCTGTATTCATGATCAAATAAATGCAGCTTTGGTGAGCAGAAGAGACTTTTTTTTTTACAAACATTCAAGTCTGGGGATGGTCACAATGTTTGAGACTAAGCACGGCAACTGACTAGTCAACTAGTTATAGATGTTTAAACATGTAGAGTCAGTGTTATTTTAGTATTATTTATATACTGTTGTGTTATCTATTATTATTTTCAATTAATATTTTGTTTTCATTTTAATTTTAATTTTAATAATTTTGTTACGTGCTTTTGCCATTTTTATTAGTCTTTGTTTTTAAAATATTTCTATATAGGTTGAATTTTTGTTTTAGTAATGTTAGTTGCCAATGTTCGTTTAGATTAAGTTTTTCATCTAACAGTTATACTTTATTTCATTTTCATTTAACGAAACCGTTTCTAATAGTTTCAGTTAGCAATAAGAACAGTGTCAGATCCCTGGTATGGCGGTGAGCACTTGTTCCCTAGTTAGAGAGCTGCTCATGCTTGAGGTGGGCCGGTTAATACAGGATGTGACATACGTATCCCATAGTTCCTGTCTATAATTGGATCTGTGAGCGGTGTGTCACCGCCGCGACCAGAGGGATTTCACTGAGCCGTCCAAAATATCTGCCGTCGCTGCCAACAGCCACCGCCTCTCTCGCGCTCGTTCTCTGTACTTCAAAGTGCAGTTTCTCAGCATGTAAATACGTAAAATCGTATCTGCTGCGGCTGTCAGGACGGGTGTCATACACTTATCTTTACACTCGAGTAACACATCAAAGATGCGGCTGTCAGTGAATCTGCTCTAATGGCGTTTGGGGTCGACAGTAAATCCCGCTTAGGGTGCGATTTGGGACAGGGCCATTTTTTTCCCCAATGTGAAGGCATTTGTTTTCTCCTCTTGGAGAGGATTATGGGTAATTCTGTATCCTACTATGTACAGTATGTACATGTGATTGCCATTTCAATTGCAATAATACAAAAAAAATCTCCAAGTTTGCCGTGCTTGTTTGTAGGGCTGCACAATTTGGCCAAAATGTATAATAATAATAATAATAATAATAACTGTAGTACTGTAAATTATTATTATTATTATTATTATTATTATTATATTAAACAAATATGACTAATGTAACGTTTCACTTTACAGTAAAACTTTAAAATTGCAAATCAAATATGTTTTTGTTATTAAAATAATAAAATAAATAAATAAGAAATGTTACTATTGTAATATCTCCCTTCTAAATAAGTAAGCAATAATTATTTTATTTTACAGTAAAACTGTAAAATCACAATACTATTATTTCAGTTTGCTTAATATTAATAATATTATAATTGCTAAAATAAAAATATTAAACAAAACAAGAAATATTTTCTATAGTAATATGTCTTGTTCAAAATAAGTATTTAAGAAAAAATAATGATGATGATAACTGCTGGTTTATAAATCACTCTCATTACAAGTTGTTGACGCATGTTGTTTTCAAATGTGACTCAAACACTGGCGTGTAACTGAACACAGTGCTGCGCTTCACTCTGAAACATGCAGCGCATGAACCACATCGCACAGTTATATTGTGATTAACAGCGCCGCCGTACCGCTACACAGCACCTCCATTTCCAGCGTGACAAACGCACAGACAGTGATATCAGCTGTGCTTCTGATTTTGGTTATTTGATCAGGTCATGTGACACTGCAGAATACGACGGTTTGAAATGTTTCTGATGCATAATGCATTCACTCTCACAGACATGAGTGATGCAGTCGCATGTCTTCGCTTCATTCATCACACTGGAAATGGACGCTGTGCGCACAGCATTGTGGGATACGGTGTGTGTGGTGCGGTGAGCTCTGCTGTGAAGATGCAGTAGATCATCTGGGCGTTTCACGAGCACAGAAACAGTTCAGTCTCTCAGTCCATCAGAAGACATTTGTGTCTTTTCTCTTCTTCAGAAGCGAGTGACACGTTCGATTTCTCCTGCGTGAGCGGCTTGTATTCGCTGTCTGTCAGAGACACTTTCATGATTAGAGTCTGTCAAACGAGTGTCTCTCACAAACACTGCGCTTTAAAGACGTTGTTAACCTCCCAAAATCACAAATGCAAACCTCCTGTCTTTGCTTGTGAGAATCATTAGGTATCTAACATCATATTATCATCGCATGAAGCTGCAGTTTTAAACATCAGATGTCTGTTTGTGAGAAGAAGTAAATAACATCACGTCATTTAACTCAGTTTTACACAAGTTGACTTCATTCATCAAGCTCAATCTTTCAACACCGTCAAAGTTATTGTTATTGTATTGTAAAAAAACAACAACAACAAAAAAAAAAACTGGATTTGTTCAGTAACAAGGTTGGAAATAAATAAAATAAAATAAAATAAAATATGCAAAATCTAATAATAATAATAATAATAATAATAATAATAATAATAATAAAGTATGCAAAAAATAAAAATTTTAAATTAAATAGAATTAAATAAAATATATGATATGATATGAACCCTGTTGTCCGTTTCTGATCTGGGGTGCGTTTCCCAAAAGCATCGTTAGCTAAATATGGTGGTTCGTTCCATTGAACTCTATTGGTAACGACGGAACTTGCGACCATAGCTGCTTCTGGGAAACGCACCCCTGGTTGAGATTCAGGGTTTGTGGGGACACTTTACCTGCATAATAGCAGTTTAAAATAGACAACACCACTTCACCGCACACACACACGCTAGTGCTTTTATAAATAACGCTTTTCATGACATTCGCATAAGCATATTTGATCAAGCGTTAGTCACAGACGCCCATTACCGCTGTTTGACCCAAACGTGTTAAACATGCTTGAGTAACACGGGAGTATCAGGACCGGCGCAGGTGTCTCTCACCTCACGCTCAGGTGCGTCTGAGTGTGTGACCGCTGATCTCCATTGGTTTGCAATATTTGGCAATTATAAGGACATTTAAAGCTCTGATTTGTGTGATTTTGTACACACAAAAAGTGTTTCTAATTTTTAAAATAACAACAATAATAATGGGAAAGGCCTCAAATAAATGCCACGTGCTTTGATATGTGGATATTTAATGCAGTGGCATTCAGTATTTTTTTTTAGTAAGCTGTAATTGTTTGACTACTTTTTTGCCATTGCTGTATATTCCAGTTGCTCCTAAAGACTACAGGACTGTCTTATAGCACACATACAGTCTTGTTTGAGAGCAGCGTGACCTTTCACACAGCATTAATTTAATGGTGGTCTGTGAGAATGTTTCAAACCATTTTCACAGCACAGCGACTTTATAACGGCCACAACAACATAAAATCTGCCCTGCCAGAGGTGACCGGCCCACACACACCTGACAGAGGCACACACAGCCGTCTGTCTGACACAAGCACATACACAACACTGTTTTCAAATGA